AGCCAGAGCCATGCAGGTGAGGTGTGGGGTCCCATCCTGAGAGCAGCCAAGGGGACAGTGGGACCCCCAAAGCTGTTCCCCCAGAAGGGCCCGAGCGGTGTGCAGGGTCTGACCCACGGCCCCGGCAAAGCCACCGTCCCAAGGCGAGCACTGCCCCAGAGGGACAGGAGCGGGTCGGCACAAAGCCCAGGGGCTGTGGGGCGCACCAAGCCCAGGGGCTGTAGGGACCCTGCACGTCTGCTCGGGGACGGGGACTCCCAGCCTCAAAACAGGCTGAGCCCATCCCCAACAGCCGAGGAGCAGCGAGATGTCTTCTCAGGCTGCGGTGCCTGGCTGCAGGCGTGGGTCCAGCTCCTAACAGAGACAAAATTAACCACCAGAACCAGGACATTTCCTGGTGCCGATGGCCCCGGGGTGGGAGAAACCTGCCCCGTGTGAGGCAGGCGCAAGGCTCATTTCCAAAATCACAACCCAGGCCCCCTTGTCGCGCTGCAGGAGAAACACACAACTTCGTTCACCTTGATCGTTACAGAATTTACTGATAATCACCACCACGATTAGAAGTGTCAGTAGAAAAATAAAATTTACAGAGTTTTCTATCATACAAAGATTTGTTCGTGACAGCCGCAGTCGTTAGCGAGATAGGAAGTCGGGCGGTATCTAAATCAGAGCAGCACAGGGGATGTTTGCACACAGAAAGCAGGGCCACGAGTCTCAGCCTGAGCAGCGGTGTTTCTCCAGGGCAGGCGGCTTCTCTGCAAGGTGTTTCCTTGACCAACACTGCCGGCTGGGCTCCCTGGCCACGGGGTTCACAGCGCTGCCCAGCCTGGGACACCCTGGCATTGACGTTTTTGCAAGCTTTTTGCAGTTTTTGGCAAGTTTGACCGAGCAAAGACTACCGACATCTGCTGAAAACTGAAGGGATTCCTCCGCTCGCCTCACTCAGGATAAAGGAACGTAAAGGGAAGACCAAACCGATGCGGTGAGAGGGGAGGAAACTGCCGGCAGTGACCAACCTTGTGCATCCACTCAAGACTATTCCTCCTTCCCATTTGGATCTGGTTTTACTGGAGAGAGAGGTCGGGAAGGCAGCCAGAGGAGCGGAGGATGATCTGCGAGTACCGAGGTGACACAAAGGACTCGCCCCCAGCGCTAATACCTGTCCAGACAAGTCAGCAGCTGATTGTTCACCCTTTTATGCAAGAATTCCCTGAAAATTTCACAGCGCCTGGGCACAGAGAGGCACCACCGGCTCCAACCACTCAACTTCCAAACAGTGGCCAAGCTGCCAACTCTTCAAGCAAAGCAGACCCCCTCCTCAAAACAGACTTGGGGAGATCATAATGGGTAGAAAACAGGCGGTTTTCAGTTCGCCCAGCACCAAGTGACTTTATTGAGCAATTTTTTTCCTTTTGTTCTGAGCTCTTAACAGCCCGGATTTGTGTCCCACATGCCTCAGCCCCGTTACTGCAGAGGAACCATCCTCGTGCCGCAGCACGTGGCACACCAATAAAGTGCTTTCTCAGTTGCAATCACCTTAGTCCTTGCTACTGAGGGATGCCAGGCACCAGAGCAGAGGGAAAGGGGAGCACAGCGGGTGCCCAGGACACTGGTTTCTAGCGTCACCTGAAAGGTAAGGTCAGCCTAAGTTCCACAAGGGACTTTTAATCCATCCAGGAAAACGCAGGATAATTCCTGTGAATTAAACCAGGCACTCTGGACACACGCTGTGTATGCAGCCATTTGAAATAAGAAGTGGGAAGGGGGAGAGACATCTAGAGAGCTCGTTATTCCTGCTTTTTCATTGGGGACAGAAGCGAAGAGGGAAGGAGAGCCCCAACCTTGCCCAGGGGATGCCACGGTAGGAAGACTGGCTCACTACAAGCAGCACAGCACACGGGGCACTCCAAAGATCCAGGGTTTAGTACAGATTAGATCGCTTGGACCTCACCCACCTAAGGAGAAGGATTCCTATTAAAGTCTTTCCTAACATGCACAGCTTTATTCCCTGAACTAACAAGGGCTAAAATTTAGAGTAATCTCAGTAAGCAGCTCCCGAAAACCACCTCTCACTATCAGCTGTCAACAGACCACTCTGGAGAAGTTAATACATAGAGAGAAATTCTTTTTTCATGATAAACACAGCGCCCTGTTGAGGGTTGTTTCAGCACAGAGGGCATGGAGTTCATAGAAGATAACTGGCCTTCCGAAATATTGCAGGTACAAAAGGCGAGCTGGTTTGGAAACCAAAGGAGTTCAGCAAAAACACTGAGGGGACGTGTGTCCTGCGTGGCTGGACACAGACAGCGCCTTCCCTCCGCAGCCCACACGAATGTCAGCCGGTAATAAACAAACAAGGACCACAGCACATCCACGGGGCTGGCTCCACTGCCCAGCCACACCCTTAGGGTTCAACCGCAGCTTCCCCTAGGGCCCTGAAAATCCAAGCCCCCAGAAAGCGCCCAACTAGCTACCTGAGCGCCCCAGCCACATGGCTCGCCTCCAGGCAAAAGGGGCAGATCTATGAGTTGTTAGTTAAAAATCACTTAAAACAAACTAAAACAATTCATTAGGAGAGACCATACTGCCTGCTGGTAAGGGTTGGTGTGGGGCTGTGTTCGCATGGCTTGGCCCTCCCCGATGGACACGGGAATCACCCAGGCTCCTCCCGGGACCCTTGCAGGCATCCCACCCACCGGCACGCTGTGGGCTGGATGCCAAAAACATGGCACACTCCTTGTCTCCACACCTGGAAACCCGCAAGTCACGACAACCCAGCGCTGACTGTGCAGTTCTCACCAGCGCAGTCACCAAAGAAGCAGCGGGCTGAATTTTGTACAAGCTGGCCAGCGATGTTTACGTATCAGTGAAGACACCCAATTCCACCACACCAATGTAAACATGATCAGCAAGTAAAAGGAGAACGGAGAAATTCTAAAATGATTTTTCCTTTTGCTGCTCCCAAATTCACTATGACCAAGATCTGGTATTAGGAAGTTGGGGCCAGGAGGAAAAGAAATTAATTTTCTCATTTAAAAAATTCACATTAAAACAGCTTCAGCTTCACTGCAAACAAAGCAGCAAGAGGTCAAAGCATTAAGGGAGCTCTGAAGACATCACATGGCTCTGAACTACTGTTCCTACCCCAGAACAGCCGGTGTCACATCTTACCTTACAACCTGTTGCTACAATTCATCACTGGTAAAAGATGTGTGGGCATCCTCCTCCTACCCTCCAGAGAAATAAAGTTTCACTTGGCACTTAATGTTACCAAAAAGTAACAAAATTTACAATTTTTAGCTTAATTTCAAGCTCCGCTGGAGGCAGGAGGAGGCGTTCACCTATCATTCAACCAGTGGAGAAAGCACACGCCAAGGCACGCCTCCAGTTGCGCTCATGATTTGTTTCAGAGGCGGCGCAGGAGGCAGATCCTTCACTCTTCCTTTGATTTGTGATCTCTAGCGTCTGCAGCAGAGCTAGAGAGTGGCTAAAATACGTAGAAACGAAACCACCACCACGCAGAATGTCTGGCCCACTCCTAAAATGAGGGCTTCAAAGGGAATCATTTTTTTCCCTGCAGCTCTGTAAACTCCAGCAATGGCAGCACCTGTGGAGAGGGGAAAAAGCCGAAACGTGAATGCGTGACAGCACGTGAGACATACACTGTTGTACCACAGGGACGAAGGGGAAAGTCTCAGAGGACACGAGACGAGGGCAGAGAACAGGGAGGGTCTGCGGGAGAGGGCCCTGAACCCCTGTGCACTGGCTGGCAGAAATGCTGGACTGAGTTTACTGTGACAAACCTCAGCCAGTAACCAACGCATGTTGGTGGCAATGGGTAAAGTGGTGGCGGTGAAACTCGGTTGAGGCCTCCAGAAGGTCTGGAGGTTGGGGGGGTTTTGGACATGCTCTCCTCACAAGAT